GAAAACAGATAATTGTTGACAATTCTTAAGACCAGAAGGAAGACATCAGTCTTCAAGGTGAAAGTTCTCATTAAGTACAGAGCAAAATAAAAGACAAACAAACAAATAGATTCATACTACATATATTAAAGCAAAGCCAAAGATGAATAAGGATAATGAGGAAATTACAAAAGTCACCAAAAAAGAAAAGACAGATTATCTACAAAAGAATGACAGTTAGATTGAAAGCAGACTTATCAGTGATAAGAGACAGCAGAAGGAAAAGAAACATCTTCAAAATACTGATGAAAAATAAGTCAATCTAGAATTCCATATCCAGCAAAATCATCATTCAAAAAAGAGGGGGAAAAGTTTTTTTTCAGTCACTTTCAGAATAAGTGTTTAACACCCACCAATCCTGAGCAAACAACCAAATGAGAAGGGGAAAAATGGGACGTAACAATGGTAGCATAGTGATCGACAAATATATTGGTAAATGTTATTCCTAATGATTATAAAATATTAGTGATTTTTAAAGAAAAATAATAGGACCAAAAGTCTGGAAAAACACTAGAGAAAGATAGGAGTAGTTTAACTGTTAGTTAGAATGTTCTAAAACTCTCACCTTATTTGTGAAGAAAAATAAACTAAGTAAATTTATAGTATGTTGTAAAATTATATAAATTAAGAAAATATGTCAACATTTAAGATCAGCCAACAAATTAATAGAAATACTATCTATACCTTCCAAAATGTATTGCAGGAGTCAGGAGGAGAATATTGAAGAATTTGTCAAGACAACAGAAAACCAGAAAGAAGACAGAAGTAAATGTAGATAAATTAAATTATCTAACTTTAAAACAGAGAATCTAAGAATGGACAAAAATTATGTGCGTCATGATCCCAAAGGTATAATTCGTGCTGTGCAATACACACACACCCCAGATAAAAACATACTGAAGTTTTAATGTTATTTATTATTGGACTGTAAGATTATAGATAAATATATTTTCTTCTCTACATTTTTCAATGTTGTCTGACGTCCCTATGCTGAACTGATATTCATTTTAAAATCACAAAAAGTTATTTTTAAAATAGCTATTGGTTGCATTTGAAATGAGTTTATAACATCATTTTTTCTTTCCTCAAACAAAAAAATAGAAATTTATGATTGTAAATATAATCGTTGCAAACAAATATAAATCAATACCAACAAGTTTAAAGACCGATTTTTCCCTATATATCTCTGGACACAGACATTACTTCAACTGGAAGATGTAGTTATTGAATTTTAAACATTTTCAAGCCAAGTATTGAAGGTGGGGGAGGGGTAAAGGATACAGGGAAGAATTTGCATGAGAACATTCTTGCCCAGTTCTGGTAACTTAATGGCTCAATGCTCTGGACATGCTGAGTTGATTTAAGTCATGTGGCAAGTGCTACAATTTCTACCCAAGAAAGGCACTGGAACAGAAGTCATCATTTGGCATGACTGCATCAAGAAAAGCTGCTGACAGCCAGAAGAGATCAAAAGCAGATCAGGTTGCTTAACAAACGACATGTCAGTGAGCTCAGAAAGCCAGGGCAGCACCCTGAGGAGCTGTGGGAATCTTGGGAACAGGTACAGAAACCAAACACAGTGGATGTTCTTACAAAACGCTAACCTGAGATTCAGTTGTCTATTAAAATGTCTGAGCCGTAACACATGATTTCTCAGTCTTTCCTTAGAAATAAAAACCAAGTCTATCGTCAGAAGCAGAAGTGATGGCGCCAGAAGATGAGTGATTTAATGGTTCTAGTTTGTCTTTATCAAATTAATCACACTATTTATCCTATTTTTTCCTTATGAATAGCCAATAGTTATTGGATATTTATTATTGGGATCAGTTCTTTACATAATTCGTCTCATTTCCTGAACCTTAAAACGACTTGCTTCTGAAAAAAATGGATAGGTTATTTGAATATTAAATAATATTAAATGAACGGCCTAATTTGATCACTTAGAAGGAATCATTTATAATAGGCTACATTTATCAAAGTAGACATGATTTTAAAGTAATTATATCCAAAATAACATAATCCAATAGTCTCCCATTTGACTCCCATTTAGTCAGATCAATGTATCTAGCTATTTATACCCATCTCATCTTAAGAAGGGACAAGAGGCAGTTTTATTTTATGGCTTGCTGATAGGAAATGCTACGTTCATACTAAATCTTTCCCAGAGACCGCATTTACAAGATTTCCTTCTTTGTGTCACAAAACATCTTATTTTCTACGGAAAAACTCAAATTTTAGAAAAGCAAAAAATAAGAGGTATGATTAAATTATGATTTTCGACCGTTTTTAAAGGACACCTCAGAGTTTGACAGCCCTGTGCCCAGCTCTTCAAGCTGATCTCCTTTTACAAGAACAGAAGGTCTAACCACATCGTTTCACGAACTGTAGTTCATGTCCCCACCCCAACTCTGAGTTCCTCCCAGGTAAACGCTGAGCCTCTGCTACTAACATGGTACCAGACTTGCATTTCTTAAAATGCTTTCCACCAACTAGAGAACCTACCAGATATTCTGCAAAAGCAGTGCTCTGGGGTCAAATAAATTGGGGGACTGCTGCCAACCCTGCTTTCAGAGAACACTGGGAATTCCTTTTAAATGTATCTTAACTCAGCAGTTCTTAAATTCATTTGGTCATAAACTCCCCGTTTCTAGGGCATCAAATTGGAACAACCTGTGAACAAACTTGAGCAAATACTGTGCTGAGCAAATGCTACAGGTGCTACTTGAGGGGCCGGCTTGCAGAGAAGTTCACCTTACCCTTACAGAAAGGGTAAACCCTTGGGGTTAAAATCATCACCTTCACACTCTGAGGCCCTCAAACCTTGCTAAGATGCTCCTTCAACATTCAGACTCCTACAGTCAGCACACTGCTCCAGAAGACAGGTGTGCAACAGGAAACAGCACTCAGTGCCACCTGCTACTCATCCTTTTCAAACCCATTGCCTCGTGTGAGTTCTTTCTTTTCAGCTCTAAGTCTTGTGAGAACTTGCCATTTCCATGGCCACATGTATGTTTACTAACATAGTAAGAAAGCACATAGATGTGAAAAATAAATGAGGCCACATTCCAAAGTGATGCACCAACTAAAGCAAACACACATTTCCTGGTAACAAGATTACCGTTCCTCTCACCTAAGCCACCTGTGAACTATGACATCCTACTTTGCAAGACTGAATTGTTGATCCAAGTGTGAAGTATTTTCCAGACACCCCAGAGATGCCCCAATCACCACATCAGAGAGAATCTGTGTGTGCAGAATTTCATAAGCAAACCAAGATACCTGGCATAATTTTGAAGTATAATAAATACTATACATGAGTGGTTAGAATTTCTTATTGTTTTAAGAAACATAGTTAACTCAAACACATAGTAATGTAATATTATTCAAAGGTTACACAGTTTGATATATTACTTTTTAAAATAAGGCAGTCATTCTTGGGCTCAGTCAATGAGCACCCAGACTTGAGGCCCTAAGGGGGAACACCTAAGTGACAGGACTCACCCCTCCTTGACAGCGATGATTGTATCTTTTGGTACCCATTGCACCTAGCAAATGCCTAACATCAAGCCCAGTTGAGTGTTTAGGAACGACAAGCAAACGATATAATGTTGCTATTTTGAAAATCCACATAAAAGCATCTGTGACCAGAACACAACAACTCCATAAATTTGATTCTAGGTCAATATCTTTGGATAAACATTTCGAAATTGAAAGAGAATCTCTTAAAAGTTATATCATCTTTTTGGTTTCTGGACAGAGTAACCAAGCCTCTTCTTCTCATCTAGTAAAACATCATCAAATGAAAATCTCACATAAATTTAGTCACTCCCTGTCCGTGCTTAGCACACTTGGAAAGAGGCTTAAATAGCTAGCTGAGGTGTTCTCAACTCCATAACAACGAGAAACCTCATGAACGGGAAATAAAGAGATTTTGCTCACAGAAATTAAAAAATTTATAAACCATTGGCTTTTGTATGAATGTTACTTTTAACTTAGAAATTTGAAGAATTTCAGACTCTCAAAAACGATTTGATATAAAGCTTCTCGACTAATGATAAAACATTACACATGCATATGTTTTTTGACCAAATATATAAAAGAGATATTTTGTTCCCAGTAAAGTTCATAAGCCACAAAATCTTGGGCAAGTATACCAAGGGAGGGTGTAGAGGGACTATGTATCTTTCTTTTTTTTTTGAGGAAGATTAGCCCTGAGCTAACATCTGCCACCAATCCTCCTCTTTTGTGCTGAGGAAGACCAGCCCTGAGCTAACATTTCTGCCCATCTTCTTCTACTTCATATGTGGGATGCCTGCCACAGCATGGCTTGACAAGTGGTGTGTAGGTCCACATCCAGGATCCAAACTGGTGAACCCCGGGCCACTGAAGCAGAAACATGTGAACTTAACCACTGCGCCACCAGGCCAGCCCCAGGACTATTTATCTTTTAACAACGACATGATAAATGTACAAATGTTCTTGGCTATGAGGTGAAAACAAGATGATCAAATTTGCTCCTGGTCAAAGAGATTGCTAGTCAAATCACCAAGGTATTATTCAATAACTAAATTTCTAATACACATAACTTTTTAAACAAAAGAATCACATTATTGGTAAAATTTTTCTTTTGCCACATATAGAAATTTTTAGTTCTATATAGCCGTAAAAGATTTTACTTTCTTCAAAAACATTAAAAACTCCTTCTTTCATTAAAAAAGCATAAATAGGGGCCAGCCCAGTGGTGTAGTGGTTACGTTTGCATGCTCCACTTCAGCAGCCTGGGGTTTGCCAATTCTGATCCCAGGCACAGACCTACATAATGCTTGTCAAGCTAGTCTGTGGCAGCATCCCACATACAAAATGAGGAAGACTGGCACAGATGTTAGCTCAGGGACACCTTTCCTCAGGGGAAAAAAACCCCATAAATAACAAACATGAGTTTCTTTAAGATTATAAGTTACCTTTCAAGTCTTTCTTTAGTTTTCTGAGATCTTTTTGAAAATCTTCAAACTTCATCTGCGAGGCCTGGAAAAGGTCCTGGGGTTCTGGCAGTGGAAAGACACACTGTTCTTTTCCGGCATCCTAATTAGCAAGAAAGGCAATGTTTAAACAAATCAGTATCAATATAAATAATGATACAACAGCAGCAACGGCAAAACAACAACGAATATTGCCCAATCAGTCAACAACAAAGAACAACCAAATATGACTACACGTAAAAATTGGCCTACCTCGTCAAAGTTTCGAAGATAATAGGAAACGATATATGACAAAAGGCTTCTGCTATTGTCCTAGGCAGAAAGACCAAAGTAAGTAAAAATACATTTTACAAATTATTAAATATAAAGGTGTTAAATAAATTCCAGCAGATCCGCATAGACGGATGAGAATATTTGGAGCGAAATGTGAAATTCTCTGTTTTGGAGGACTCCATCGCTCTATCTAAGGAGTGTCATGGCAGAGCAGGTCTTGTGTCTCCCCAGTGTTCCAATGGAAGCTCTGAGCGGACGCACAGCTGCTTCATAAGGGCGGCGTCCACAACTGTAAATACTTTCCAGCCTTCACCCTCCTCGATTAGAAAATTAGTTCATTAACTTTTGTTCTATTAGTAAAAGGTATAACTACTACCTAACTGAAATGATTACATATTGTCAGCATTTCTAAACAGCTGGACCCACAGGTGTCACTCCAACAGTAAGTCTGACTGAGGCCTATTAGCATAGATTAGGGAAACAAAACAATTAAGTATTATTTTAAGTAAGCAGGAGCTTTAAACATGCGAATACTAACTATAAATCGTTATGTTGGCAACTGAGATTGAGGAATTAACATCCATGCAGCTATAAATAATACAAAGTGTGTAGCTCTACAGGAAAAAATGTAAAATTGTTTCATATCTAAGTCTTCAAAGATCAGCTTTCCACCTCCTTTCTGGTACATTTAGAGGCATTAATTTTTAACTATATTTTTGCATTATGCAAAATTAGTACTAGATAATCTGAATGTGAGAGATCAAATATATATATAAAAACCCTATGATACAAACTACTTGCCCTAAGATATTCAATCGGAACATGATTTTCCCCTATTTATAAAAAGAGCCACATTCCTTTATAATCAAATTTGACTTGATATGGTAATATATCTATTAGAGATTTCCCTCATAGTAATATATAGTGATAATAATAATAACATATCAATCACATAGTAATGTACAGCAAAATAATAAAAGTAATAGATTTATTAGAAATAGGGTTTGCCTATAAAATGATTTAAGCAATTTGATGTCCTCCCTCTTTCCTAACCTGTCAATCAACGAAATGGTTAGCAGTACCTGAATCGACTGACCAAACATTTATTAAATGCCCGCTGATGGGCACGCGGAGTGAAAACTCTGAGGGATCTGAGCACAGCTCTGTCCCTGAGGCCTACAAATGGTACTATGGAGTACAGACTGTTTTATTTGTTTTAAGGAGAAAGAACCAAATTAGGAAGATCTTGCCCAGCACTTGTGAGAATGCAAGTGAAATTATTTTAAAAAAATCTTGCTTCTTGATGCATTTTAATTTTTATCTAGATGACTCCTTAATTATTTAAATTAATGAAATTTAACTTATTGGGGGATTAAATAAGACATATCAACCAATACACAAAAACAAATAATCCCTTATTCATATACAATTATCCAAATCTATTTCAGATCCATTTTTATAAGTTAAACATTATGTTGATCTTCATCATATCCCAATGCTAATTGCAAAAGTGACTTGTTTCAATCCAACAGCCAGTTGTTAAGAACTATTTGAGAAGTATCGTGTGTTCAGAAGAGAGCTTTCGTTTTCGAACAAATGGGATTTGTCCGGTTGACATATTAGAGATTCCTATGAAAATGTTCATCATACAAATATAACAGCATTTAAACAAATATAACCATAAAAAATCACAAAAATTATATGCTGTTGGTGTTCCAAGAAAGGACTGTGTTGTTCTCAATTTTGGAAAAGCACAGTGTGTGGCACTTCAGAAAAGCCCAAAGAAAGAAGCTAAATGAATGGATGAGGGGACGCAAGAAGGAATAAACAAACGAGTTGTTGAAAAAAAGTCTCCTTTCTTGTGAGGGAGGTTATTTCATTATCTAGGAAGGACAGCTCTATATATTTTCATTTCTATAAGCCAATTGTTTACCGAAACTTAATATTTTAAAAACATGTCCGTAATTTCCTTCAAGTTCTACGTGGAGATTCTTTTTTCAAAGAAACAGAATTCCATCACTTTCGAAGTTTAAAATCTCAGACTTTAACTCTGACCATCATGGTGTTTTCCCTAACCCTATAATTCTACCGACACTCCCATGATCTCTTAGATGTTCATTTTAAACAAACACATCTACAGAAGTAGGACCAAAAAGTAATCAGGGCTGCAAAGAGCTGACGCATTCCCACACACACCAGCACCAAAACAATACGTAGGAAAACAGGATCATCTTTTATATTTTATGTACAAATTACTTTTACTCATCTTTGTTTTGGACCTGTTGGCTTCCATTACTTAACAGGGAAAAGAAGAAAGTAATGGATATACTGTCTAATTTATGGAAATTAATTAGCCCTCAGAGTCCAAAAGGATAAATATTAGCAGATATGGTAAAGGTAAAGTGAAAAAATGATTATTTTTATTTTAAAATATTGTCTACTCAATTATTCATTAGACATAGGATTCAAAATTACTCACTTTAGGAAACATCATTATTCACAAAATCAGAAACACGTGACGGCCATTACTTTTGTCTAGCTCAGAACATAAAGACACAGTGCCACACACTGTGCTTTTCCAAAAACATAAAGACACTTTCGACCTTGGAACATAAAGAAGGATTTATTGCAACTGGGTTATAGTCAAACTTATTACTAAACAAAATGTCTAATCCTCAATTCGCCTACATTCATTCACACAAAACACTTACGCTGCTTTTGACATCTTTCAGCTTCGGAAGAATGTCTAATCCAAAACCATCTGCCTGTCCCCGGGTCTTATTTCCACCGTTCATGTAGTTGCCAAAGGCAAGAACCAAGCCCAGAACCTGCGTCACCCCTGCGCCATTTGCTAATGTCTGCAAAACAGGGCAAAGAACAATTTCTCTTACACAGCCGGCCCCTGACTTATGACGGTTCGACTTACGGTCTTTTGACTCTTACGATGGTCCAAAATTAATATTCAGTAGAAACTGTACTTGAATTTTGAATGTTGGCCTTTTCCTAGGCTAGTGATATGCAGTGAGATGCTTTCCCAGCCAGCCCCACAGTCACGAGGGTAAACAACCCAGATGTTTACAACCATTCTGTTCTTCAGTACAGGATTCAATAAACTACATGAGATATTCAACTTTTTTTATAAAATAGGCTTTGTCTTAGATGGTTTTGCCCAACTGTAGGCTAACGTAAGTGTTCTGAGCATATTTAAGGTAGGCTAAGCTAAGCTGTGACGTTCGGTAGGTTAGGTGTGTTAAATGTATTTTTGACTTAGGATATTTTCAACTTAATGACAGTTTATCAGAACATAACCCCACTGTAAGTCGACAAAGATCTGCATGAGGTCTTGTTTGTTTGAACTACCTTAAGTCAGTGGCAGATAGTCACATTACACTCATAATTTTAAGTCACATTCAAACTTCATTATTGCTCATTATTAGGTATATTTTAAGAGCAGGGTCTCCAAAGCTAACTTTAGAAAGCTGCACCACCATCAACCATTCATGTATGCTTTTGCAAATTGAGAGATCCCAGTCTAGGCCATTCGTATCATGTAACTGCAAGGAAAACAAATGAGGTTGTAACAGGAGAAGCACTACAAAGTAATGTCATGCCATCATCCTAATTGTATCTACCTCTGGAGCTATTCAAATTTTTGGCATAAGTTGTGGGAAACTAAAACACAGTTATAAAGATTAATTTCCAAATTTTGATTTATTCCTGAAAAGTTCACATTCACTCCTTCTAAAACATGAAGTTTAACTTGAATTTGCATGTCACTTCCTCTGAAAATGTGTCTTTAATAACGTCTTACTATTTTTCAAAATGATTTACCACAACCAGATCAAATGGTACTATTGATTTTGAACAAATTGTTTTAAATGTTAATATTGGCAATTTCTGCCAAGCATTTATTCTTTGCTTTCAAAAAAATATTTGTCTTCTGTTGAATCATACAGCTGTTCCTGAATCATTCGGTTGGAATCATCAAGAATTTGTTGATGGCTCCTTCCAAAAATGAAGGAAAGTGAATGAAATGCCTTCAAATCACATTCAGTAGCAAGTCTGATGTATGAGAGGACCCCGAAAAGTAGAGATTTTGTGGCAAAAGCAGAAGGGACAGGAATCTCTGGAGGTCCACGCGCAACGACCATGCTCGAGCCACGTGGCCCTGCGGCCCTGAACGCCAACCTCAACACTTGCTTTGATCTCGAAGCTCAATCATAACACGTTCTCTTCTGTGGGACTGCTATGCTTCCAATTTTCTGAGTACTTAGAGTAAACGAAAGAAAACCTTTTTGAAATCTGAACAGGACTGAACACAATTCAATATGAGAATCCAAGCTTCAGCTCTCTATGGACCAGAACCCACCTCGCACAACTTCTGTAGCAATTCCAGTTTGCGACGAATTGAGCAAATGCTTTCTGAAAACGTGGACTGGAACAGGATGCAAAAGACTCGCTCTGAAAAGTTGGGGATTAGTGACAGTTCATAAAGGAACCTAAGGAAATAAAGCCAAGTTAAGAGGAAAAATATAATTCATATAAACAGATGTTTATCCTCGTATCACTCACAACATTTATGCACAGGAGACACGGCATTTTCCCAGTGGGAAGAGCCCGCCCGCAGCCTGGACGCCCTCTGCAGGGTCCCGAAGGATGCTTACTGCTCAGGTTTGTCCAGAGACTTGGCATTTTCCTTGTCTTTGGAGGACCGGCTGTGCTTTTCAATTTTTTCCAGTTCATCTGACTGTGCTCTCTGGAAAAACAAATGCCAAGTGGTTTTTCAAAATCTAGTGCACTGAATCCCTTAGATAATGATGATCAGAATACAGCAAAACTCTCTATATGTTCATATTTCTTAGCATCTGCTTGTAGTAAAGCTTGACTTAATTCACGAGGCATTTTAAAGTGTAAATAAGTTTAATGCAAACCAGATCATCTCCAAATCTTCCAAATAATGCTATTGACTATTAGTATCTGCAAAACATTTATTCAAGCGTGCTTTAAAACAATACAATTTTCCTCTCGTTTTTTAGTTGTTCATAATACTCTCCAGAATGCAAGAATTTCATTTTTAAGCGGTATTTCTTATTCAGGAATCGATCAAGTTAAATTTGGAAGTAATTTGATCCTAAAGTTGTTATAAGATTTTTAAAGGAAAAAAGTACTTCTTTAACTATTGTAATCATTATTTACAGCTATTTTGTTTTAGGAGAAAGAAAAGCATAATTGATTATTAAGTCATGGAACAAAAATAAAAGGTTTTGAATCTTCTGCTGAATTTTTTTTTCATACAAAAGAGGCTCCAGGCCTTCTTTCACCCTTTATCTTAAGCTAAAAATTTGTCATTCTACATTTGTTCCTTTATAGGAGAGGATCGTCTGCATTTTTAACCTAAGGTAGAAGAGCTGGAGAAGCTCAGATCTACTCTTCTTTACGGAGAATTTGCATGATTTTTATTTGCAGTCTTGTATTTATTTTATAATTCACAAAGATGTTTCGCAACAGTCCAAAATACCACATTTTCCAAATGCATTAAGTGTGCGTAGACCACCATATCTTGAATTTAAGTCTAGTCCCCAGAATTTAAAATCCCTTTAGCATTATTATTTGTTTAAACAGAAAAGCAGCTCAGCCGCGGACTGCTGTAGAAGACAGAATCTGATAGATGTCTTGAGGCTCCATGCATTTCCTCTAAACAAAGCCATGTTCTGTCTGACTCACTGATTGTAGGAAATGCAGGTTTCCAGTTGATGGGATTAACTAACAAAGACTAGTTCTTCACAGGAAGCTTCTTTAAACAGGGAAGAGGATTTGATGACAGATCGGTGGATCCTCTGAGGGTCTGACAAATTTGCTTTTGGAATGTGATGCAGCAAAGAGGTAAAGGAGGGCTATTTAAAGCAAATATCCCAGGCTACTTCAAAAGTGTGGGACCTTCTTCTGGAATTTCAAATGCATAGTAATCTTACTTCTTTTCCCATCAGTTTATTGTGGCCTTGCCCAAGGATTTTAGAGGAGTAAACACTACCTTATTTACTTATCATAATTGCCACCCGTAAGATCCAGCCCCACAGATACTATCATCTTACCACTTAGAGCCAAGCAACAAGACGGCCTTTAACAATGACCATACCCATCTTTCTGGCAACTGAGTGATCAGAGTAACCTTATAAAAGAATATTAAAGTTAAGAATACCAAAAATATTTTTCATATTTATAGGGTCTATTCTGTTTCTCTTATTCTTTATTTATGAAATTGATTATTTTGGACTCAAGCATAAAGATATACTTCTTATGTTAATTTTTTCTATATTCAATCAACTATTCAAAGATTTCTATAGCTTGAGATCATAATTTTGTCATCTTACGGGGCAAAAAATACTTTGGGCTAGGTTAGGGTGAAAAGCTTCATAAAAAAGAGGAGATAAGTTTTGAAGAATATGTTTTGAAGAATATGCCCATTGACTTGCCTCTAAATTTGCTCTTCTTCCTGCATTCCCAGGTGCTTCTGAAGGCAGAGGCATCTACCCAAAACTCATACCGCCACACCAGATCTTCAGCCTGGACTATGTCCTGCACTTCGGCTTGGTGCTCCTGGTTTGGCTTAGGATCAAGTCCTCTGGAAAGCCGGCCCTGTGCAGCTTGAGCCCTACTCTAATTAGTCTCTCTTCAGAATGACAACACAGAACCTGACATTTGCTTCATTTTATGCCACACTTATCACAGCATCTTACTGGTAATATACATATATGTCTAGTTCTTCTCTTGACTGGGGCGTCTTGAGGGGAGGGCCATGTCTTATGCTTCTCTGTGGTCCTACTGACTAGTATGGTTCATGGTATACGGTTAGGAGTAAGAAATTTTTTCCTAAACATTGAGAAATTAAATCAATAGTTGAATAGGAAAAAAGAAGGCCCCCCAAGTCAGAGGGACGAGAGATGTAAAGAGAGGAAGGATGATAATGACAGGACATATTGAGGCCATGGTGATACAGAGACAATGCCAATTGTTTACCATCATCCTAAGAGTCTTATGGGAGGTCCTTATGCGGTAATTTGAACTCCAAAATAGATAGGTATGCATGCATGAGACAGAATTAGTCACTTCAAATGCCAATACACAAATAAGAAAGAAAGAAGAAAGCTATGCCCAGCACAGGAACATATGACTTCACTCATCTCTACATTCATTCAACACAACTCTCCTGTGCACCTGTCCTCCATCTCATATGCAGGAACACAGATGCATGTAAAGGGACAAGAAGTAGGTCTAAAACATAATAGGTTTTCAAAGCAATGTTAATCAAATCTGCAATATTCTGCTATTCATTAATGCATCATGACCAAACTTCGTGCTCTTCACGTTGGCTTTCTTCTTGTAAAGCAGGAGGGATGCAGTAAAAGTCAGTTATTTTCTACCTGCTAAGGCTCCAACTCTTACTGTTATCAGCAACCATGAAACTATGTCAAACTAGTGACTATAAATTTGTACCAGGACCAGAGCTCCTCTGGATAACTTTGGCTTTGTTTGACCTCCAAAGTAAACTCAGTCTCAAGTGCTCTTCTCTGGTCCACCAGTTTGAGATAATCATCAGGGTCAGGCTTTTAAAAAGATGAATTTTAGGGGTTCATTCACCCATTCATTAAAGGCCTACTGTTTACCAGGCATTACACCAGACACTGGGGATAAAAAGATTTACGTTAGGCTCCAGATTCAAGCAAAATCCCACAACACAACATACCGAGCTGCTCATGACCCGACTCTTTGCTTAACCCTCTATAGTAATCTTCTTCCACTGCTGTTTAAAACTATATATAACTCTCTATGAATGAAGAGGATGCTCATGACTTCACTGCCCTCCCAGTGGTGATGAGAGTCACCTGTTGAAAGAGGTTCATTCTTCTTCATAGTCAAAGACATGGGCAAAGCAGCCACTCACTTCCACCTCAATTAATACCATGAAGGAATGTCCAAGTTCCAAATATTCAAACCACAAACCTTCCTTCTCCCTGTATCATTCACTTCCATTTAGGGTCAAACACGCCTCCCAAAATTAAACTATTTCAGTCTCTAGTACTACAAGGATTACCTTTTCGTTACTTTCTTTCTTTTTACTGCACATCCCTTCCCACTCCCACCCTGATTATCTGTAGATTTGTACCAGAGTATCCCTTTCTCAACATTTACAGTGTTTGCCTATAAATGAAATGGACCCCAGGTGCTCCTAAGGTGGATGCTTCACCAGTTACCAGAGTCATCACTTCTAAAACTCAGGCACAGTCTTCACCCACCACTGGCCAGGACAGACCCAGATTCCTAGCTGTCTTCACCGTTTTCACCAAACATTTTGACCCAGACACCCACTGAAACTGAACCCTGCTGTTTCAAATCCTGGGGAAAACTGTTGCCTCCATGGAGAGGAAGAGATTGGGGAACAGGGGTGGAGAGGGAGAGAAGGATATTGAGATTGAGTGATACGCATTTCTGCTGCCTGAGTCTACTAATGGTGCCAAACAAATGCTTCTCAAACGGTGTTCCACAGAACAATACCCTAGATTCCTGAGACTCATTAGGAATTGTCCCACGCTACAGCCATCTGTAAGACTCACAGTGCTAAATACTCTTAGAGGTGATGTTGTTGAAAAGACTCTTTCATTTTAACAGAATCCTCATACTTAATTGATCCCAAACATGTGTCTCTGTGAGAGAGAGAACATGATGGTCACAGTCATAAGGAACAGTGTTCTAAGGGACACAAAGTGAAACTCCGTGCCACGCTGAGCTTTTACCAGTTCCTTTACTCAGCTTCCTTCCAGTTTCAGAATCTTCCTATTCTAAATCTTTCAATCTTTGCCCCTCTCCCTTTTATGTTTACTAGGTGGTCTTGCCTCCTACTGTTGCTCCCCTTGATTACGCTACAGCCTCTTGTCCTGGATTTCCTCCCACCCCTCTGCTGGCTCTTCTCAGTCTCCATTACCAGGGCTGCATCCACTACCTGACCACCGGCTGACAAATATCTTAGCCCCTGTTCTCCCTCCATATCCATAGGCCACTACTTCCTCCACATTTTCACCCGGATATCTCAGAAGCATCTCAGACAAAACACATCTAAAAATAAACTCTCGTTTTCTTCCCCCAGGCCTTCAGTGGTCCTGATTCCAGTAAACTGGAAAATCACTCATCCAGCCAGAAAGCCAGGAGTCATCCTAGACATCTCTCTGCACTTCACTTCCACAGCCAATGCATCACTGGATCCCAGACCCACTGACTACTCTCCATTTCCACTGCCACCATCCTTGTCCAAACTACCATTTCTCAACTCAACTACTTAGATGTCCTGCCTGGTCTCCCCATAAACACCCCTGGCTCTCTCTAACATATGTCCTACATAGCACCCAATGGTTTTTTTTAAAAGATGTAAATCAGAACATGCATATTCTTCTTAAAACTCTTTAATGGCTAAACATTCCTCTTAGAATAATACCACAGACAACAAGGTGCCTACAGAGCCCACATGGATCACGTTCCTCTGTATCCTGTCTCATGCCATGCTCCCACTTGCAGAATACGTCCTGTTCTCAATAGCTTTCCTTCAGTTCCTCAAATGGATCACATTCCTCCTTGATAAATGTCATACCCTGAGCCTAACACATTCCCTACACTTCTCATCTTCCACAGTACCCACCACCTCCTTGCTTCTGCTTCCATCTCTACCTTGGAGAAGCCTTCCCTAACCTCCTTATCGAGACTGAG